GGCCAATGATTCATCAATAAGAGATTATTTTTCGTTTTTAAAAGAAAATACTAAACCAACAAACGCTATAATTAGATCAACAATCATCAGCGAACGATTGCGCATCGATTTAATCATTTTTTATGCGAAAATGAGATTTTGTCGGCTAACTTCACGCTAATCTTTTTCTTTTTTTTTTTTTTAAATTATAAACCAACAAATATTGATATTAGGCCAACAATGACCAACAAACGACCAACAAACGATTAAAAAAAATTTTTTTGAAAACGTCGAAGTTGTCGGCTAACTTCACGCTAATTTCGAACAAATCCATAATCGAATTTAGCGGGTTATTTTTTTCAGCAGTTGGCAACGCTGCCGGCCGATTATTACTAAAGGACGTTTTTGCAACGTCGGCTCCGAGGGTCGGCCGTGTGGAGTGGTCGTTGAACGTTTTGCAACGTTTTTCAATTTTCTAATCTCTTGTACGATTTGTAAATACGTGAATCTCTGCGATTAGATGAAGTAGACGACACGGAGGTAAAAACGTAGTCATGACGGAAGAGTGGAAACTGGATCATCGCGCGAGAAAGAGGATCAAGGAGGTGAAAAAGAAGGCTCGGCCAGGTAAAGAGAATGGAAGTTGCGATTTATAACCTATCCACCTTGCCGAGGTGCCCTTCCTCGTACACGCGTGTCCCTTTCCCTCCTATGCCGAGATCCGACGATCGTCTTGAGCCCGTCTCGATATTAACGGTATTACGGAAAGTAAATAATGCCGAAAACACGCCCTGTTTAGAGCTCGTGGGTAAAGCGGCGTGGACTCAGCACAGCTACAGTAAGAATTTCCAAAAGTTTTGGCAATTCCAAGACAATGCCGAACGAATCGACGAGTCCAACGTGCTCACGGAACAATTCGTAGAAAAGTATGAAAAACCTTACAAGCCTGTGATAATACGAGGTGTTCAAAATGGCTGGAGGGCCCAACACAAGTGGACTATAGAGGTTGGTCTTTGTAACATCATTTTAATAGGTACAATTTTATGGATTCAACATATCCGTCGCATCCTATGTTGGCAAAGGTACCTTCTAACCTATTTGTCTTTTTCTTTGCAAGCAGTTAGAAAACATGTACTTTCCTTAAAGCCTTCAACAATGTCAGTTCTCACTCGAAAGAATCATGCCGTGCCCTTAAACACTTATCCAGGCTTCTTATTCAATTTCAGAGGTTAGCAAAGAAATATCGGAATCAAAAGTTTAAGTGCGGAGAAGACAATGAAGGATACAGTGTGAAAATGAAGATGAAGTACTACGTTCGATACATGTTTAATAACCGCGACGATTCCCCTTTATACATTTTTGATAGCTCGTTCGGCGAACATCCCAGACGAAAGAAATTGTTAGAGGATTATGTAATCCCTAAATACTTTCGGGATGATCTTTTCCATCATGCCGGAGAGCATCGAAGACCACCGTACCGCTGGTTCGTTATGGGGCCCGCGAGATCTGGTAAATACACTTGTCAACGAAATTCATGCTAGTAATTCAAAGGTGGTACTAAAACATTGCGGGTGAAACAATAGGTACGGGGATACACATAGACCCGTTAGGTACCAGCGCGTGGAATGCATTGATCTCCGGCCACAAACGCTGGTGTCTCTTTCCCACGCACACTCCCCGCGAACTTCTTAAGGTAACCGCATCCGAGGGTGGCAAACAGAGGGACGAAGCTATCACATGGTTTTCCATTATCTATCCACGCACAAAACTACCCGCCTGGCCAGAAGATTGTCGCCCGATAGAGATTCTGCAGACCCCCGGCGAGACTGTTTTTATTCCCGGCGGATGGTGGCACATCGTGTTAAATCTTGACGAGACTATAGCGGTTACGCAAAATTTCTGTTCGCGTACCAATTTCCCGGTAGTCTGGCATAAAACGGTAATTATCTGTTCGACTCGCGTACACATCGAGCTGAACGAGCTCTGTACAAACTGTAATAATAAATGTGATCGCAACTAGGTACGAGGAAGGCCAAAATTATCGCGAAAATGGTTGAAAGTACTCGGTGATAAAGAACCGGAACTGGCAACCTTGGCGGATACCGTAGACTTGACGGAAGACACCGGTGTTGCTAGCGACTCGTCGAGCGGTTCCTCGAGTAGTTCTTCGAGTAGTACCAGTAGTAGTCAATCTGAGGATAGCGGGGACGACAGCGGGGATGACAGCGGTCAAGAATCACTTACCGCGCACAAAAAGAAAAAGAGGTATATACAACATTCTCTCTATTCAAGTATCGCAAAATCACCGTGTACTCCTCCTCTTTTTTGTATACAATACAGTTAATACAATCCATTTATTTTTCGTCACGATTCGAAATATAATCAAGGCATAATACTCTCTTCAATTTTCCAGAAGAAAATTGACTAATAGCCAACCCTGACAATATCCAGTATTTGGAACCTACAGAGACCTCAGACTGTACAGTATTAACCAACAATTATTGTTTGTACTAAGAATAAATATTATAATTACGATCGTATCTTTATGTTCATAACAAAATAAATATCAGATAATATAGCCTTTTCTTCTATCAATACTTCATCCAAGCCTTGCGTTTAGGCAGCTTATGATAATGCACATTATTCCTATTCCAAACGGACACTGTTAACATTACGACCAGTCATCTTGCTAGTTAAACAACATACATATTGTCCTGTAAGATTTTTACGATTACCATTACATCTCCTAGTATTTATTAAAATTACGATACAGTCGAAAAATATTTAAAAAAATGTTTAAAAGTATTCTCAACAATCAATTAAAAAAGGATCAATGCAATAGCAATGTATAAAAAAAGGATACGAGCTAATAGTGGATGGATCAAGTGCATTATCACTTAAATTAAACTATAGTTAACAATAATAAGACTAATTGCAAATTAAATATAATACAATTCGTATAAGACACGTATGTTAGCTTTTGAGTGAGTTGCTCCTGTGGAAGGTCCTTGCGTCTCGTTTATAGTAGTTCCACAATTTCACAGTTCCATCGCTTCGTATCGACACGATGACCATGCAAAGCACCAAAGTGGAGTAAACAACATAGAAGCAAATAATAACCAATTAAACATCCATACGCACTAGAGACTGATGAGACTTGTTGCAATTGTCGTAAGAGTAATTCATTTTCGTCCAAATTATTGACTAGCAAGAGATTGAGGTTTATCTTATAGCAAGGTCTCTCAAACGTAATGTTCAACTTTGAAAATGCTGTGAATTTTGTAGCGATTGACGATATAAAGTTACGTCAAACGTGAATATAGACGGCAAGTTTGCAAAATGTAACGTAACATCTTTATTTGACTTTGTGGTGTAGTGTTGCGTGTAAAGTTGCGTGTGTGTCACATTTCTGACGAACGTTAGACAGGCGTAAAAAATAATCGCAGCCTTACTGTCGCGTAAAATATTCTGGATATTGAAATACGGGTAAAGGGCATGCACATTATCAGAAAAATACAAGATAAACGCACACAGTGACGCACAAGCAAAAGGCAAGTAAAGTTAAAGGGAAACTGTGGAGATAGACATTGATAATGAGGAATCGGGTATACGCCACAGCTTCACCTCCCCAGAGCTGAAATCAACATCCGAGATGTTACTTTACTCGGGATATCATATCGCGGACTGCCGAACCGAAATAATATCTGATACAATATAGTCGCAAACAGTCGATTCACGGACAGACGCGCTATTGTACTATCACAGACAGTTGGATATAAAAGCGTCGCAACATGTGCGCTTGGATTCTCTTACTTACTTGCTCGCTGTGAATATATGCTGCTGATTGGTCGCGATGGCATTGATCGCAGAAGCGTGCGCTCGCACCTCCCCGATAGGCGTGCATTCCCCTAAATGATCCTTAGGAACCGACCATGCCTTCAGTATACCACCGCGACATCCCGAAATCATTATGGAACCGTTATTTATTGTGCACAATCCCAAAATCCAATCTTTGTGAGCGTTGTTCAGGGACTGGACTAATTCCATCTTGCTTAGATCCCATCGTTTAATGCACATATCTCTAGAGCCTGAAGTTTAATCGATAGCAATAGTGAATGATTCACACATTAGCTGCTTTCCTTTTACACTTAAGTGATATTGAGTCACTCAGTTATGTGAGTATTTTATACTCAGATATGACGTCATTAATGTGAGTATTAAACTCACTAAAGCACACGGTCTTGATCGTGTGCAAAAACTCAGTTAAATCTGGTTAAATCTCACTTCTCAAGAATCAAAAGGAACATTCAACTGAGTTATGACGTCACAAGTGAGATTTATCCGAGTTTTCATGTAAAAGGGAAGCAACTATTGAGATTAATAGGCAGAAAAAGGAACGTACCGGAGAATAATGTGGAACCGATCGTTGCTAAACATTCAACGCCGTCGTAATGCGGCGGCGCTAGACTAACGGACGGTCCGGATATATTAGGCTCGGCGAGAGATATCAGATGATCCTTGCTACCTGCTATCACTCTACCATCCTCGGCAACGGCCAGACACATAACGGCCGCCGTGTGTGGCGTGCTTAATCTGCCGGCGTACGTCAGTTTACGAAGATCCCATATTCTAACTTTATCGCTAGCCGCGGTATACAGCTCCTGTTCGTCCAAACTGAGCGCTAAGTCGATAATTGTCGTTTCGCCCGGCGGAACGTGAACCATCCTAGACGGAGTTGACAGCGCGATAGGACCGTTCTGAGTTTGACCCGATGAAAACAAGGTTTTTACGCAGCTGTTGCCAGCTCTTAAATCCCAAGCTTTAACGTATGCCGCGGATACGCTAAATAGAAGCTGATGAACGGCGGAATACTTTACGGCTACGACGTTATTAGGATGTCCACCCAAGGTCAAGCTTTCAATTCCCGTTTCCAAATCCCATACTTTGACGGTGCGATCTGAAAATTCATACGTTTTGTTACACTTGATGAAATAAACCTGTACGTCATTCGACTCGAATAACGTTCAATGTGCACTCGTATACCTTTCGAGCCGCTGAAAAGTAAATCCGACGTTACGCATACAGTAAGGACAGCTTTGCTGTGCCCTTCCGCGACGTGAGAGCATTGCAAAATGGCCCGTGGTTGCGCCTGACAAAAGAATCATACACCTAATTGACTTGGCCTCGCGAAAGAGAGGTGGAAAACCTCGTTAGTCAGCCTCAGTTTGTCCTCACCTTGCCCTGATACTGCGAGATAATTCCTTTCATTGGCTGCGGTTCAGACGCGATTAGCTGCCTGTTTGCAGTTAATCTGGAGAATACGTTTTCCTCGCGACTACTGAATCGCCTGTACGTAGTCGGTGAGCCAGGGGGTGAAGATATATCCAGATGCGCTACCTGCTCCCTAATAGGTGTGTTATGTTAGCGTGTTAGTTAGCCGGCATCTGGCTAATAATTATGCCGACTTGAAAGTTACATCAAACATGCGTGCGCAGGAAAGATAACGAGACGTTACGTTATTAACTTAGCTTACAGGCGTAGTGCGCAATTAAGTACAAATATTAATTTCAGCCATCATCAAATGCAAATTTCGTACTTAGAAATATGTAAGTAAGGAACGTCCAAAACAAGGTTTTCCGACAGCTACCGAATGTTCGCGTCTTAATCGAAATTTTGCCTTTTATTCTTTAGCCTACATATTACAAAAAATAGAATCCTTACGTCTATGCATATTGAGGATACAGATGTTTTCTATAAATTAGCCTCAATTCCGTAAACATGTCTTTTCTTATTGCAGTTATCAATAATTAATAATAATATGCATGTGTATAATATGTTACTGTATAAAATCGATTAATATACATCTTACTTATTTGTAAACACATATAAACCTAGGTTTATCTTTATTTCTCAATTAGGTTCCCTTATTAAAGATACCGGTTGCAAACAACGTTAACGGCTTAAAACGTATACTCCATATTACACATAGCGATGTTACAGTCTACTCTCAGATATACACGTGTATTTTGTACAATGCATAACTCTTGGAAACGCTTATCGTAATACCCGATAAACTCCGAGACACTTTACACATATGGAGAGTAACGAAATTTTTTAGTTAATACTTTTTTTGTAACATAACGCAATTATACGCGTACGCGCATTCCAATTGTTAATTATTATATTCTTAGGCACGAAATACTTGCACTTGATTCCTGTCTCAAACAAAGTCAACAAAATAAGTCCCGAGAAACCATAAAAGTCATCTGGACAGTGCGTGGAGTAGAACGTGAAGAAAAAAATATACAAGGAATACAAGAACAAGAATGTGCTGCAGGATAATCACTCACATGGAGCCACCACCGGGATGAATCGGCCGTCGCAGAGCTCTGGGTGATGTGCTGTCGCGACGACTCAGCGTTGGCGATCCACCAGTACCACCGTACTGATTTCTCGTCAATACCAGTCCTCTGCGCACGCAAATGAAACATTAATTAATGCAAAAGTATGAAAACTACTGAGAGCACACACACACACACACACACACACGCGAGTCGACAAACCCGTATACTTACTTTAGGCTACCTGGTGCACTGGGGACCCTAGTAAGAGGATGATTATGATTTTGATTCTGATCATCTGCCTTAACATTTTCCGGACTAGCGTGTACACCGTATAAAAGTTCTTGTGGTTGCGTTGTTCTTCTTCTAACTTTACTATTGCGCTGCCTCTCCTCACCGAGTATAATTTGACCGTAACTTTCGCTATCAAACGAGATACGCACACGAATAAAAATGAAATACCATATTAATGTGTAGAGCATAAATATTATGGAAAATGAAATTGGAATACATTCTGGAAAAATGAGAGCCAATTACTGCCGCTTGACTTACTTGTCGGGTGAGGAACTTCTTGAACTGGCTGGACTATAAGCTAGTACGTTATTCTGATTGTTTGTGAGAGATAACAGATCTCTATCGCGTAATACGTGCTCCAGTAACTGATGCTGCACGTCGCTTTCTTGCGCAACTTGATTGAGTCGCGATTCCATATCCCGCACCTCGAGCTGCTTCTGCGCGGCTATGCAACTTTGCTCCACGGTAAACGCGAGCATTCGCTCGAGTAAGTACTGTGCCTCGTCTACCGTTCGTATCGTAGAAATGAGCGTTTCGACACCGGGCTCACCCTCCGCCTCACCGTCGCCCATTTCAACCATGTCCCGCTGACATTCCGAAATGCTATCCTGTAAAATTTTGCTCGTTGTAGTAAACGACACGTTATAACACAGGTAGGAGTAACAGCAATAGTAGGGACGACCGCATTAAACCGTTGATTGATACATTACCTGTAGGTAGCTGATTTTACTTTCCACATTGTCGATCTCTTCGTCAATATCGGCGGTGTCGCCTCTCACGCTTGTAATTTGACTCCTGTGCTTCTGAAGCTTCTCCAAATCTCTTCCCAATTCTTCCCTCTCTTGTAATAGTCTCTCCATTTCTCTCTCCGTTTCTGCGGCGGCCTGCTTCGCTAATGCCTGCTTAGTGATCGTTCTTTCGAACGTCTGCCACCTTTGCTTCAATGCTTTAGGATTAAGTGGTTTGACTGGTGCACGACCAGCAGCTTTCTGACTCAATCCCTTGTCCCTTTTCCGTAGTGCCGTTACTTCCTCTTGTTTACGTCTAAGAACAACCTCCTTCATTCTCTTGTCGGCCTCCAGCGTTCTGATTACGTTTGCATGCCTACGACTTTCCTTGCGTAACTGCGCTATCTCTCTATTGCGCCTCAGTTCGTTCTCTTTATGCCGTTGAGCTTCTTCTCGCATTTTATTCAAAAGCTTTACCTTTGCCCTCTTCATCTCCGAAAGCTCGTTTCTCAGACCTCTCAGCCTACTTTCGTTCTGAGACTGGTTCTTGAGTAATCTCGCGTGTTCCTTCTTGGCAGATTGTAGAAGACGCATCTCCTTTTGCATATTTGTCAGCTTCCTCTCGTACTCGTCGCGTAGCTTTTTCACCTTTTCGGTAGGCGGCGTAGGTTGTTGCTGCAAAGACAGCAAGACTTTATCCCTCTCTTCCTGAGTGTCTCGAATACGAGCTTGCAACTGGGACAACTTGTCCTCATAGTGCTGCTTCATAGTCTGTAAACGTCTTTGAGAGAGCTCGAGCTCTTGTATCAAGCGCTGCTTAACATCGATATCGGAAGTTAGCGCTTCCAATTCACGACCCATAGCTGCTTCTTCTTCGTCTTCTTCTGCAAAACGATACCCTGTCAGTTACATCGTTGCGCAATGACAAAATTGACGGGGGGAGAAAGATATAGGAGAAATAAATAGGACACGTGTGGTTTAGACGTGCCTTTACGGTCGGAATCGTCGTCGGAATCGTCCTCGCTCACGGAATCCTGTGCATTCTCCGCGTCATCCATCTCTGCCTCGTCCACCGACTTGGTAGTATTAGCGCCGTGACTGTACTGTTCCTTCAAGGCCCTCAACGTTTCCATCTCTTTCTCGACATCTCTCTTAGCGTCGACCAACACGGACGCGGAATCGGAATGAAACGAGCTGGAATCCCCGTATGGATTCGCCGCGTTAACCTAACGCCGCGTTAACCAAGATCTCATCAATGTCGGTCGGGCTAGTTGTTTTTTGCAACTCGACTCACCTGCATTTGTCTCTTCTTCAATTGCTGATACATAGCTTCCGCTTCCAATAGACGAGCTCTCAGCTCTTCTATTTCTTGAACGTATCCCTGTATCAGGCTGGTCAGCTGGTCGTCACCTTTGCTGGACGCCGCTACCCAATGACCCGCTGCTTTCTCCGCCAGCAGGAGAGCGTTCTTGGCGGTTAACGCCTCGACCGTCTCCGAAAGTGCCTTCACTCTGGTACGAAGACTCTGTAATTCGCTGCTCAACATTTGATTTTCATGCCAGGCGTCGTTAACTCCGTCCTCGCCGACGATTCTCTTGCCTGAGGGACGTAATACCACGTTTATGTACGGAACGTAGAGATAGGTAAGATTATTTACTTCATTGTCGAACGTACCTTGCCTATATTCCATCAATTCCAACTGAAGCTGCTGAATCTCTCGTCGTAACGAAGCGATCGTTCTCGAGCTCTTGTCCTGGTTAATAGTAACTTTATTCTTAATATTTCTCGCTCGATTTGCATACTTCAACGTACTTAGGGTCTCCATGAAATCTCTGTCGCTTGGCGATACGCACGCTATCATGACCGTCTGACTGTTCCCTGGCAAATCAAATTGACAAATTGACCAAATAGAATGTGACGTGTAAATTCCATACTGTTCTAAGCAATAAATTCAAAGGACGATGTTAAATCGAAAGGTTGCAGGCAATGTGAGCCGTCACCTGGTCTACGGTGATAAAAATAAATACGAAAAGATTTAAAATAATATGTATTAGAACGGATGGTAGATATAAATTAACAATTGAACGTTTCGGTCTACGTATGTGACCCTCATCAGCAATGTGACATCGAATAAACAATTAATTAAATTAAAGCCTATGTCTAATTAAAATGTTAAGTATGGTGATGTATCAACATCTTAATGAAGTGTGTAAATGCGAGAGATATTGATGTTACGCACGTCCAGATATATTTAAAATGCGGGATGATCGGTTGTGTATTGATAGTCCATCGCATCATTATCTTGCAATACGTGTCAACGCACCAATACTGTCCTTAGTATCGGAAGTGTTGTCTACCAATTGCAAGATCGAAACGAAAGTTGTTTGTACATATATACATATGTACAAACAACTTTCGTTTCGATCTTGCAATTGGTAGACAATTGGTATACAAATCTGTAGTGTGCTGTGTCGCTGTCGAGGTTGTACTGATCTTTTCGTAATTGTAACGTAAATCTTTTCGTATTTGTTTTTATCACCGAAGACGGCTCACACTGCCTGTAACCTTTCGATTTAACATCGTCCTTTGAATTTATTGTTTTTCTCTGGAGCCTTTTATAATATCTTTTTTAATATAGTTGTTCTAAGCAAGTTACCCCCGAGAGAGTCTTGAAGTAGCCTGGTCAACTTTGAGTCTCTGTACGGTATGTGCGAGGCTTTCTTCGTTTTATCGCCGAGAGCGGAAATGACGTTACCCAGGGCTAACTGAAGGCAAACGAAAAGAAAAAAGGTGAGACGTTATTCCCCGGTTTTTCCCCGAAAGGAGACGGGTCTTACCAATCCACAATTGATAGAAATGCCTTCCTTCGCACGGTCGCCGGTAGCGCCCGTTCTCTTTAGTCTCTCGGAACCGGCCAGGTCGACGAAGTGAAACTTGGCAGTTAACGTTTCAAACTCATTGGCCAATTCGACGCCGCTCGTGTCGACATCCGCGTCAGGATCCTCGACCTTGATGCACCTCTGCTGTTTGACGTACAGGGTAAATATCGCGTGCGACCTAGAGGACTGCGTGTTCATTTGCGTGGAACCCGTGGTGCGCGACAAGGCACCCAATCGAAGATACTCCAGGGCTTGCTCGGGGCTGGTTACGACGCGTGGTTCTACGCCAGCCAGATGTATGTTACCCATCGTGTCCTCGTGAATACGCGCGCCGCCCCTCGGTCCTCCTGGCTCCAGCAAATCTTTCAGATCTTCGTTGTACAACTCTAAGAATTGCGCTGTGACCTGCGGCGATAACAAGAGACAAGACGCGTTCAGACGAGAGACGAGAGGCGAATCGAGTGGGAAAAGTGTTGAATGAGCGGACCTTAAACTCCGGCGGCATTTGCGCGCGTTCCCTCGCGCGCCCCTGCTTGTCGGCTATTCCGTCGAAAAGATGCCTAATAGCTCTGGGTATAATCCCGACGATAGTCTGATCGAGCTCGACGTCGAAGCCGGTGCCCATCGTGTAAGTCTTGCCGGAGCCGGTTTGCCCGTAGGCGAAGACCGTCGCATTGTAGCCGTCGAGCGCGCCTTCCACCAGACGACGCACACACGTCTCGTAAATTGTGCCTTGATTCACCGGCGTGTCAAATACGTAGTCGTACGTGAAGGCCTTGTCGGGCCCGAGAAAGACCTGCGGCTCCCCTTGAGGCACCTGAGTGCAAATCCTACACATGTCGATAACTTCGCGGGCTACTTGAGGCCTTATTCTGCAACAGACATTGAGGAAGGTAAGGGGGAAGGTCGTTCGGCTGGAGCTCGCAGCTTTGCAAGTTGAACGGCAATCAAGCCCACGCGCGTTCGTCGTAAAAGGAGACGCTCGGGTGGCGTTGATTCCAGCGCTCCGAGTTTCTCCGCGCAATTCCCGCGTAAACCCCCGTAATAAAGTAACGCTAGAATTCAACGTTGAGCAATCGCGTTCTTGCCGCGCGAGAGTGTCGAGCCGTATCTACAATGTGCTCTCCGCGTCTGGAAACATTCCATCTTGTAGTCAATAAATACATTAATTGAAATGCGTAATGCAAAGGGGGCAATGAGAGCCAAACGCTCGATGTTGAGTGCAGATATAACAATATTATGTATGTTATTGATTAGAAGTAATCAAAGTCAAACGTTTCGACCAACTCATGTGGTCCTTTTCAATGACATTAAAGATTTTTGGTACATATGATCAAGTCGGCCAAGTAATATATTTATTTTATAATACTTCAGCTTACAGCCAAGAAGTGGACTTGGTTTACAATAGTACTTAACGCTTTCACTCCTGCATACTTATTCTATTCCTCACTCTTTCTTCCTTTCGTATCGTGACTAGTTTATATTGCTTATTTATTATTTACATTTCTTTTCCTCCTTCCTCCTGTACTCTCTCTTCTTTTTCTTTTTTAAACTTCGCAATCTGCATTCTCTTTCTATCCATAGCTTCCTAATATAGTGTACCCTTTTTCCTTATCTAATTCGTCGCTCCATATCTTATACCTTACTTCTTTATTGTTTTTCCCTAATTCCTTAAACCAGTGTGACGTCATACTGCATTCCTTTATATAATGTTCAAGACTATCCCATCCCGTCTTACAAAAAACACAAGTTCTTTCTTTTTCTTCTAGCCAGTATTTATTGTGTCTTTCTAGGTTACCGCAAGTCGGCCAAGTAAATGTGTTATAACGGTCTCCAACAAATTACTTTAGTAGAATTATAGTGTACGTAAGAAAAACTTATCGATCGCATCGATGAACGCAATGGTAACACAATATCTCGCATCGTTGTTAGACCTCAATGATGACGCTCGCCTCACAGTGCAACATCCCACACAGCACGGGGAACTCCCGGGGAGCTCTTAAAATTGGTCATAAGCTTCACTTGAACTTCAAACGAACTCGCACGGAGCTCCTATGTTCGCTTTTGAGAGCTCTCTGGGAGCTTTATTTAAGCTCGCAGGGAGTTTAAATGAGGCTCCCAGGGAGCTCTCAACTAGTGCTAACTCGCTGGAAGCTTGTTTTGTCGAATTTTGTAAGCTTCCCGGGAGCTCAGCGAAATGAACTTCCTAGGAGCTTAATCGGAGCTTTGTGCTGTGTGGGATCTAGACGCCAAATACTTAGTATGGTATCGGGGCAGAACTTCTTGAAGATTGCATGCAAGTGTGGTTGAATATCAATTGTCATCTTGATTATAAGACGTGTAACTATCGAACGAGGATGTCAGTATGGTCAAATTAGTTTGCACTATGCAATTTCAATTAATTCATTGATACATAGAGCCTAAAAGTTATCTCATTATATTCAATAAATACGTTTAAAAAATTGGCGTACGTTGATTAATTGCAAGCTGTACATTGCACAATCGTAGATCGTCGACAAACCTCTCGAGCGTTTCGATTTGTTTGTATAGAATAGAATGTTTCTAGATGCAGAAGGCACACTGTAGATTAGGTTTAAATCACGCGACTCCTCCGGCGATGCCTATTCCCAGCGCGTCTTACGTCAACCTGTTATTCATCGGAGCCGGAGGCCGGAGGGGCGTCGGCGACTGCAACGGCCGATTCTTTTTATTATTCCCGATACTCCGAACGTCTCCATTCTTCCTCGCGTTTATTGTTCGAGAAACGCGCGCGTTCGAATGCGCGCGCGGAACCGCCCGCGACGGTATCGCTCGGCGCTCAAAGCCTCGAAGCTCGACGTGCACCGGCACGCCGGCCAGGAACGCGATCTCGGGCTTCGAGCCCATTACTTTACTTACCGCACGGCAACGCGTACGCTCGAATCGTCCGCCATCTCGCTGCGTTCGAGGCTATCGGTCGAGCGCGGACCGACCAGCGGGATTTCAGGTATCAACGAGACAGCTTTCGCTGTATTAGGCTAATATTAGGCCGAAACGGAGTGAAGGCGAGCGGCCGTCAGGCAGTTGGGATCCTCCGCTGTGCGGCCGAGCCGAGTTGTGCACTCGCGCACGCGTTATCAGGCACAATAATCGCGAAAACTTGACATCTCTCATGGACGATGCACGAGCACTCGCTGCACGCGACGGTAGCCCCTAGACCAGTCGTCAAACGATCGCGGCAGTTGCGTGGGAGCCCGAGTCGTCCTTCTACCGTCTCTCAGAAATGTCGGTATCATCGTTGCTTCTACGCGGAGCACCTGTACGTGTGCTGAAATTCATCGAGTGAAAGGCCGTGTCGTGAATGTCGGCGCTCGCCAGTGCTCGCCTGCTCGGCGGTGCCCGCAGTGCCGCAATCGTTAAACAAACTGCACACCAGCGCCGTCTGCCCTACCGGAACGCACTCACGGCGCTTGGACTCGGTCGGTATTTTCCCCGAAATAAATAAACCTGACAAGTCTGCATGTCAAATCAATTTATTCGCTATTACATCTCGATTACAGAAACATGTGTAACAGATTGAAAGATATTAAATCCAATTCCCGCCTCAACTTCTCTTCCTGTTGGATATTATCGAACCATCTCGACACGTGGATATATTGCGCCTTCTGTTGATAGCTCAATTCTTTCTGTAACAAAGAAAAGTGAGTAGACGTTGTCGCCGTGGGCTTACGACGATATATTATATTATCATTGTTATTACCATTATGGAATGTAGAACGTAATATAATGCAACATCAGCGACAGTCTTCTTTGTACCAGTTATATATGGCACGTCCTTTAACGCCGTATTCAGCTCCTAATAATCCAAAGTCTTGTATCAATTACCTCTTTCGTAAGGCAATACTTAACAATACACTTACATTTAATATTCTTTTAGCGTTGGCAGAAACATCCCCGTAATTGATACAGATCACAATGTATTCTAACCATTGCTGTGTCAATGCTTGCACTTGTTTCTCACTGTCAGGTATATCGGAGCATTTCGAGCGCCTAACAAGCTCTTGCACGATTGTGCCGAAGCCTTGAATAGACGGCAGATTCTTTTCGCATTCTGGACTAACTGCAACTATCACCTGAAACAAACATGCGATTCGATATACGATGATAATTTAATCACGAGCAAGTCTATTCCATCGTCGTGAAATATTGATTCGGCAACATCCAGGAACAAAGGCCGTTTACGTGAAATTAATAGCAAGGCCTACGTTTTTCTCAGAAAGTTGCAGCTTTCCCGGAGAAACGTCGAGATATCGCGCTATTCTTTCCACGCATTCTATATTACACAGACCCATGATAGAATGTAACGTTCGGGAACTGGAAACGACCGGGCGGCCAGTGACTGCTACACAGTGATCGATCCACTTGGATTGACTTGGATCCACTATGCACTAACGCCCTCTTAAAAAATTCAAGAAGCCGCTTTTCTCTCGTGAGAAACAATTAATTTCACTTCCACGGAACAACGTTGCAATGTTGCAAATTGCAATGCAACATTACAGAGACATTGTAGAAACATAAATTAACAATATGCCTGCAATATATCAGCAATATCGCATTTATATTCCGGAAATATTGCAAAACTACAATTCTATAATTTTGCTATAATAATAATATAACAATATTTGTGTAGAGTCATTTAGTTTGATAGACATTTTCAAGATATAATAATTAATAATCACGTTTATATTCAGGTCTTATTTATTATTTGACAGCCATTTATGTCATTAAATTTTATATTTATTTTAAAAAATTAGAGTATTAAAACCCCTGCAACCGGACTCATGGGTCATTCGTGCCCTCGGTGTTTTGAAAATGTGAATCCCTGGGAAAACCGTTAAGCCTATCACACAAGGGGAAAGCACAGGCAATAGGAACAGGGAATAGAATTTCTGACGCGTTGGATTGGTTGGAAGAAAATTTCCGACGAATCCAACGCGTCAAAAATTCTATTCTCTATTGCCTGTTGCCTGGCATTGTGTGATAGGCTTTAGGAAAACCGGTGGGCCCGGGCCCTTTGTATTGGTATGTAAAAAAGTTTGGGGTGGGGATAGAACGTAGCCGCCAGCGCGCCGGAATCCACCAGTGCATGGTGTAAAGATACAATTTTGTGTATCTCTGAAACTTGTGAAAATTACAAAAGTGAGCGAATTCACAGGTTGAAATTAGAAATATTCTAGTATTCACTCACTTTTGTATTTTTCCTAAAGCCCGCTGCAGACGATGCTATTTTTCCTGCTGGATCGCTTGCGATTTACTAAATTACTAGGAATCCTGAGTGCTGAATGGTGCAACGATAGTAATTTATTAGATTGCAAGCAATCTAGCAGGAAAAATAGCATCGTCTGCAGCGGGCTTAAAGCCCATTACACAATGCCAGGCAACAGGCAACAGGAACAGGGAATAGAATTTCTAACGCGTTGGATTGGTTGGAAGAAAATTTCCGACGAATCCAACGCGTCAGAAATTCTATTCCCTGTTCCTGTTGCCTGTTGCCTGGCATTGTGTGAAGGCCCTAAGTTTCAGAAATCGATCCCCAGATAACAATAAAGGTTGTACGCTGTATCTACGAGCCAGTGAGATCAAGATCGGTAATTCATGAGTGAATTCTTAAGTCCCAGTCTACAATAGAGATTTAAGCCCTAAGCCTTAAGAAATTGACTAATCACAGTCGCGCATTCTTCTCATACTTGACCGTGATTGGCCAATTTCTTAAAGCTTAGGGCTTAAATCATCTATTGTAGACTGGGACTAAGGCTACATAGGATGTAGTAAGTCGTGTCGGAAGAAATTAACCAATCACAGTTCATTATTCTCCTTACGGTCGAAGAATAATGAACTGTGATTAGTCAATTTCTTCCGACACGACTTAGGGTGCCGTCCCATGGCGCGTATCGCGATACGCGCGTATCAGGCGTATCGAACTCTACGACCAATCACAGACAATCCGCTGTTTTTCGTACGCCGGAGTTTGGTCCCTACTGTCCCATGGAGCGGATTACGCGGAAGCGTACCAGCGGATCGCCAATCACGGAATCTTTCTGATAGAGCCCTTTCAAGATTCCGTTGAAACGGATCCGTGGATTGGCGATCCGCTGGTTACGCTTCCGCTTAATACGCTCCATGGGACAGTAGGGGCCTCCGGCGTACTGAACACACGCACACACACACGCATGCACTTAAAAAGTGAAGTCTTCACAAGCCGGTTGTTTTTAACCTCATACCAGTTACGACATTACGAGTTCATTTAAGCTACGGTAAGCATAGTTAAACTTAAC